GCTTCTATCTAAACCGTCTAGGGCAAGAGTTCAAGTATCACAAGTTTTATCAGTTATAGGTACATTGCTTAATTATGAAATTTGATATGTTCATCTCTCCTGTAGGCACACAACCTTTTGGATGCATCTTGTTTGTTATGAAACAGAAATAACCACACCAAACTTTGCAAAAGAAAAGTGAGTTTTGTATGTGCATGATTTGAAAGAGTATTATGCTTCCAATGCATTCATGGGGAGGGATTTATTTCATTTTATTTTTTTTTTTTTCTGGAGACTTCATTATGTGAAAATTTATCAATTTAGAAATCTCTTGATAAAACATTTTAGCAATTAAATGGTAACAGATATAAGATTAAGGTCCATGAGCCTTAATATTTATGTATTTCAAAAAGTAAACGTAAAAAATTGTAAGGATTTTCTCATATCAGACCGTTGCATCTGTGCAATTTCATGAACTAATTAGCTATTTAAGAGCTGTAATTCTTTACAGTGTTATGAGTGACGCATGAAAGTCTGAAAATAGGGAGAACTTTGGAAACAGAACTTTCTTCAATAAATAACATATTTTACACATTTTACTTTTAAAAAATTTGGTCTCGCACACACTCACACTCATCAACACACATGAATAGTAAGTTTTCTTTTTTTCCAAATTTTCTAAGAGAGTATCACATTGAGAATTACAAATGGTGAGATGCATAAATTAACACGGCTGATTTGTCATACATGTTTCAAAAAAAATTGATGGGCTGTTAAGGAAGAAAACATTTACCAAAAGTGAGTAAAATACAGATGTACATGAATGCTTGACATCATGCTACATGTAATAATCTAAATTGCTTCAATCAGCCTTACACCCCATTTCCATAGATTTTTAGATCGATCTATCCCTGTGGGGAGTCTCACTAGATTACTGTCAGCTTGTCCGGCTTAAGCGTCTGTCCCGCCTACTAAAAGCTGTAAGGGGATAATTAACTATGGTGCCCGCTCGGCTGACTGCAATTTAAATTTTGATCTAAATCTTAATCTTTAGATCGATCTAAATCTCTGGGAAAGCACCCTTAGAGAGACATTAACAGTGCAGGCAACTGCAGGCTCATGATTCTGAGAAATGAGTTTTAACTGACAGGATGCGGTTATTCTAAAAGGGAACAATTAGCAATTGTATCAAATTTAGCTTGAGTAGCTCTTGTATGTTCTTTTCAATTTAACCAGTAATTTGATCTAATGTCAATCCTAAAGCGGTGTTGTGGGTGTGTCAGTCCATTGTGCACTCTTGTTTTTCTTTCTTTAAAAATCAATATTACAAGTATTGCAAAGCCGCAAGTGTCTCTTTTTTTTTCCAACTAAAAATGCAGTGCTATCTGATAAGCTGTGACTGGGATCCAGAATATCCTTGTATTGGAAGTTGTTATCAATATGGCTTGCATGTGTGTATTGTGTTCATGATATTATTTAAATTTCTTGAAGTTGCTACAGCAAACAAAAAAAGGGGTTTATTTCATAAAATAACAGATTTATGGAGTGCATTGCACTGGTAGCCGCTGAGGAAGACTTGAAATGGAATTACTAGTTATAAAGCATGTCCTGAACAAGAATAGGCTGATTAAAATCATTTCAAGACTGGATTGAGGAAGTTTGGACTTGTACCCATGTTCTATGTTCTACCTGTAAGGAGGTTTATTTCTGAATCATTTCTTATTTTAAGCCCACTCCTGTTAATCTGTTAAAAAAAAAGATTATATTGAGAGATTTAAGAGGAAAGTAAAAATTAAGTGATTTCCATATATTTTGATTTAATTTTGCTGTACTGTTACATTTGCAAGCCAATGTAACGTTGAACTATGAGCTCAGCATCTCCTTCAAGGTCACCGTATTTGCTCGCTGCATTTTTCCCCCCACAGGCAATGGAAATCATGCTTGCCTTAATCATTTCAAACCAGTGCACACTGAGTTGGCAGCTGAAATCTTGGGACATTACTTTTGTAACTAGTTAACCACGCAACTTGTGTTTTTGTGCATGTTTACAACCAACAACAGATTTCTGGTAAGTCGGGTGTTAAAACCGTTTAACTTTATAGCCAAGACGTAGGCCCTTACAGAGAGGAAAATGAGCGAAGCAATCAATAGATATCGTAAGTAGGGAATACAGTTACTAATCCAATTGTCACAAGAAGTATTTTATTGACTGGCTGTTGGCAAAATATGAGTACATATGTAACTCTGGAGTAACATGAGAAGGGGGTACATTTTAACATCTTCAGAACTATAAATGTTTATTGATATAATTCTGTTCATGGTTTTAATAATTTTAGTTGCTACCTTTTCATTTGCGCTAATGTTAGTATATAAACTTACCAGTAAACTCATAAATGGATGTGAGTATTTCAAAAAAGAATCCTAATACATTGTACCAGGTTATTTCTAATAAGTTGGATGGTTCAAGGTTACCATAATTCCATTATTTAGGATAACCAGATTTCATAGCAAATGCTTCTGAGGGTATCATATTTAGGTATTTAACATACAATTATCATAATATCTACCTAATCATGAGTGACAGGCCTCACATAGTCCTTGTGAGTGACTACTTGTATGGGGTGGGTATTAGTACACCATTGTCCACATCCTTAGTTTAGGCATTTTAATTTAAAAATGATACTGATTGAAATGAAATGAAATGAAAATGAACTGTTATATACAGTACTTGACTTTTTTAATGCTTGGAAAATAGCTCTCTCTCTCTCTCTCTCTCTCTCTCTCTCTCTCTCTCTCTCTCACACACACACACAAAATCAATTCTAGACAAGCAAGTACATATTATTAAATACCTTTAATTTCATAATGAAATTGTCAAGGGCATTTATCAAAAAGAGAGGTGAATGCTAAGGATACATTGTAGCATATATTTATGTACAGACACAGATGGGGCATAATTTTAGAAGTTATGCTGTTTTTTCACATTTCCTCAGATTCAACTCTTAGGCATGTTAACAGTCTCATTATTGAACTAATAAGATACGTAAAAGTGTTTGTTTGACATTTCCTGCATCTTTACAACATTGTTAGTTGATTATATAAAAATGATGGTAAACTTGTTATCGTGTATTGTGTAATAAAGTGTCAAAAATGGAAATAAACTCAGATCATTGCAGTTTGTCAGATGCAATCATTCACTATGTTCAGAATCTCAGAATGGAAGAAATTGGACATTTTACACTGCTCTATTGATATTTTTCCCATCTCATCAATTTTCTTAGTTGATCATATAAAAACGGCAGTAAACTGTTAATTTTGTTATATGTTAAGAATTGTTAAAAATGGGGAAAAAAAACATTTCAGAACAGTGCTGTCTTGTTTCACATTTTGGCATTTTCAAGTTGTGACTTTGAAGTTCCATGGGCTTGAAGACCTTTGCTAGTCACATTTTCTGAATATCCATAATACTAATATTTTATTATTAAAATTGATGGTCATTATGCTGTTAAACATTATGTAATATTGCATCAAGATTTGAAAAAAAACTATTTTGGGCACTGCTCCCATGATGACCATTTAAGAAAAACCATGTCATTTACTGTTCTCAAACTTACAGGAAAGAAACATGGGACTAAAATACAGCTTCAGTAGGCAATACAGTCTGTTTGGTAATTCTTTCTGCCAGTTAAACAGTTTTTTTGTGAAAATTTAATTTTTCACATATTGGCATTTTCAAAGTGTGACTTTGAAGTTCCACGGGCTTGAAGACCCATGCTAGTCACATTTTCTGAAAATCCATGATAAGTTTATTTTATTATTAAAAATTGACGGTCATTATGCTGTTAACCATTATGTAATATGGCATCAGAATAGAAGAAAACACAATTTTGGGTGCTGCTGCCATGATGACCATTATGGGAAAACCATGTTACTTATGATTGCCAAACTTTCAAAAAAGAAATACAGGACTAAAATGCAGCCCGAGTTGGAAAAGCAGTCTAATTGGCTTCTTTTTCTGGAAGTTATACATTTTCAAAGAGTGAACTTGTTACACATTTTACTTACATTGTATTACCTGTTGAGCATAATTAAAATTTGATGTTGAATTTGCAGTTTAACATAATGTTCTTTTGCATCAGAATTTACAGTAGCCTATTTTGTGCATAGTAATTTCCTGTTTTTTTTTTTGTCTGTACATTTGACAGCTTTGCTGCCTTGTTTTATATGGAAGTTAAAGTTACATAAACCCTAAAATTAATCTTGAACCTTAAATCTGATTGAGCAGACTGGTAATTTGGCAAATTTCTTTTTAAGATTTGTGAAGCAATTACAAGTGAACAGTATAATTATTTTCTGAATCAACAGTCATTTGTTTTTGCCCGTACTCCAGAGCTTGATCATGTCATCATCTCATTTCTTCTCAGGATGTACATATTTGATCTGTTGGCAATTTCGATTGCCATGGTAATTTGTTCATAGCCTTGATGTCTGATACATGTATTCACAATAATTTGTGCATCATTGCTTAAAATGTATAAGAATATATCCCAGTGGGAAATAAAATGGACTTGAGTAGAAATGATGACACTTTTCCACTTTTTAATATCACCAAGGTACTGGTAGACCCATTTTTGAGTTTTGCATTTGCGGTTTTAAGTAAAAATGATATTATCTTATAAATTTCACTGAGGAGGAAGTTAATTTAAAACTTGGAAAAAAGGATTTAGGCCCATAGGCAGGGGTGTTTAAGGGTTAGAAAGAACTGCCCTTATTTGCTAGAAAATGTCAGATCTGAATCAGAATTTGATGTGGGTTTTATGCCTTTTCTTACATTGAAAAGACCCCTTCCCCATTTGGAAATTGATGGCTAGAGTAGATTGTACAATGTAGTTATTTTCTCAGTGGTTTTGGTTAAGGGATAATTTATTGCTGTCCAATGTATTTGCTTTTAAAATTAACTTATCTGTGCACCGTGCCATTATTTTCCAATAAATGTTGGTAAATATTCTTTTTCGTTTCAGAGTTGTCAAAGGGCAACAGGACAAACTTCCAAGAACGCAGACTGGTATTGGACTGTTGAAAGATCTCTCAAGAATTCATGGAGAATTTTCCAGGTGGTGCTGTAAATTCATGGAAATCTTGGCTGGAATGGTGACTGCAGGCAATTCTAGCAGGTAAGACCCAGAACTCAGTTTTTCAGTTTTTGCTGAACTAGCTTCCAGTGTTACACACTTCCACTTGCATTTGTTTTGAAGTAAAAGTGACTTTGCTGGCTCTTTTTCTGTTCCCTGAGGTGTAATGTTTAATTAGTCATGCCAAGAAATATTTACCAAATGCCAAGTGTAATAGACTTTTGCTATAAAAAATTTTTTTTTTTTTTGAAAGTTGCCAATAAGCCAGTTTTAACTACAAAAAAATCATAAGGTTCTTGAAGGCAAAATATGAATAATTTTAAACAACATCAATGCTTAATTGGCATACAAGAGAAAAGGCAATTTATTTGAATTTATTGAAATGAAATGAATTAACTCATGATCATGAAACCCTATACATATTACAGATACTGAGAGATATGATTTATGATTTTGTCTTTCACTAACCAAGGTAAAAGAGTGATTCACATGAAGATAATTGTTGGCTCTTAAAACCTGTTTCGGTATCATCAAACAGTGGTAGTTCAGCAGCACAAACAGTATCTTTCTCCTCCCTGGTGACTATTACTGCTCTTCACCGTTAATTTACTTTATCACAAGGCCTGCAGATGCATCATGCTATTCTCATGTGCAAATATTAAAGACCTGTTTCCAGTGAAGATGGCTGTTCCTAACTTATTAGTTTTCATTCCCGTTGAAAATATCTGTCTACGAAAACAGGTACAGCTCTTCAGGGACTCTCGTTGAATGCAAGGAGGTGTGGAGGTGGGGAGACCTTCAGGGGATTAGGTGGTTTGGTTTTAAGTGGGATCAGCCATATTTAGTCCATGGATCAGTTAGTCCAGGGATCATTTGTTCTGAATGTGCTCACAGGGAGTACCGTCTATTCAGGACTTGTAACTGAGCTTTGTCACTAAAGTTGTGGACATGGGGTGGACAACAGAAGGATCAGATTCCTTCTCCATGATGACCTAATCGTAAATGAGTTCTATGACATGATTTAGCACTGCCAACTGAGATGGACCATACAAAGTTGAATCAATCTATATTCTTTGCTGGAAACAGGCCTCCTAATAATTTTGAAATTAGTAGTCTGGGGTTCACTCCTCCCATTAAGGATACCAGTGAAATGTGTCCCCAAAGTACCAGATTAATTAACCAGTGGTTTAATTGGCTGAGTGCAGCATGGTCCCTCTAAAACCTTGAAGCCACTACAGTATGTGTATTGGTCCCTTGTTGTAAGCCACCAGTCCCAGAAGCATGACTAAGTATTTGTGATATATTGTCCTTATGCACTGGCAGACCCAGTTTTTTTTTTTTTTTTTTTTTTTACAGATATAAAGAATATAAAAATAGAAGAAGAAGGCAATATTCATAATTTGGAGTAAAAATTATGATAATAATAGGAGATATGGATAAAAATTATTACGGTTTTGTCTACTTCCAAAGCTAGGGGAATCATATGGTCCAGAGAAGTGTACATATACCCAGTAGTTTCTCCAGGCTTTGCCATCTATTGTTACACACAAACTCTTACTTTCTCATATAGACCAAACTCAACTTAGAAAACTTAGTTTTTTTTAAAAAAGATTTACCTTAAATGCTTTGGAAACTATAACACATTAGTTTTTATATATATATATATATATATATATATATATATAGAGAGAGAGAGAGAGAGAGAGAGAGAGAGAGAGAGAGAGAGAGAGAGAGAGAGAGATGGTATTCAGGTGTTGTGGATGACAAACTACTGGGGTATAGTTAGGTTAAAGGGCTGTTCTTTGACCTGCTTGCAGTATGATATTAATGATTGCCGCCCATTTTCAGACACCTAAGGCAATATCAAGATCAATGATCAGTAGAAAAATGTCGTAGGTGGATAGCGTGGAAAATCATATGTTATTCATAATTCATGCAACAGTAGTAGTTGTATTTATATATAGCATATATAGGGGATAAAACAGGTTTAGAAAAGAAACTCTTTTCAAACAGTCAGAAGATATGAGTCAAAGACTCCTCTGTATGTAGAGGGGGCTGAAGTTGCACTGTCAGGGTGGAGACAAGTGAAGATGTGGGGGCCGGTAGGTCAGCATTTAAACATTATAGTTACTGTGTGCGTAAGAGAAGGAGCCTTGGAATTTGTTGAAGGTTTTTTGTACAAAGCGTATTCCTAGTACCTACATATATAACTTATTTATCAGCAGCACTGGGTAATAAGCTCTGTGTATGTTTATGCTTTTAGATTGTGCATTACTTTTTTGTTGTTTAGGTTGCTACACATCCATGGAAATAAACTACTGCTACTACTTCTAAGAGACAAAATACCAAAATTATCAATATACTTGGCACAGTCCGTCTCAAGAGTTCAACCCCCTTGAGAAAGTTCAGGATTATAATCCAGGTTTATTTGAAGGGGGGTCCACTGATGCAAAGCCAACCCTTCCCACCCCCACCCCCCTTGGTGTGGGGTTGGAGGCCTGCTGAAGGGGCCTGAGGAAATTTTGGTTTTTTAGAGGGCGAATGGTGCCATTTGGTGCAGATTAGAGCTACATGTATGATTCAGCTAGTCAAAATTCTAATTTCAAGGAGGGACTATTGGTGTGAATTTTTAAAAGAAATCGAAGGTTGGGGGCTACTGAAGTTGTTTCCCACTGCATTTCTTGGCAGTTTCTGAACTGCACTTACTAGTTTAAAAATGTAAAAGTTTAGTTAGTAATACTGATATGTTCAATTCAGTTACTGATATGTTATCCTAGGTGACTTGTGAAATGATTTTTTTTTTTGGGGGGGGGGGGGGTCATAAGGGAAATCAGGCACATCACTTACAAGTTAACATATTGTTATTGATCACTAAGTTCTATCCAACATGATAAGGCTTAATGGAATACTTATTCCAAAGTCTCTGTTGCATCATCATTCATCTGCAAACTGTTTGTTATCAAAATCAATTTTGGCCTCCTTTTTCCTATCCAACCCTGTGATAGTTTAATATAATTTGTATATTTTCATCATTAATATTTTTTCTCATTGTCTTAGATGGTTACTATGGCTTTAATATTCTTTTGTTTAGATTCAGTTTTTTTTTATTTCATTTTTATTTTTTAAATTAATTTTTTTTTTGGGGGGGGGGGGGTGGGTGGGTGTTAAATTAAAAAAGGTTGAAACTCCAAACAAGCAGAAATAGAGGCAGGGTTGATTACTAAATAAGGTAAGTTCTAAGAAAATTGCAATCTGTAAGCTCATTTTTCATTTCTTTTTTTTTTTTTTTTTCAAAATTTAGTGGCAGTAGAGACTGAAAAATTTCACAGTAAAAAAATTAAAACTTGAAAATGGATTGTGAGTCCCTCAACAGTTTCTCTTAATTTAGGATATATATGAACTTTGGTGATTAAATGAAACCTGTTGAAATTCTCTGCCTTTTTTTTCTTGTTTGGCATACAAAGGTATACTAAACATTATATCCCTATTTATAAGTGGGTGTTGCTAGATATATGACTGCTAGTATGTAGCATGTCAGTTTATTCATTTAAAGATAGCAAGCTTCCCATCAATTCCTAATCTTGCAATACCCTGTCTACTTTCAGACAGGAGCAAGTCTGTAAAACAATTTCTGATGAAACATTACGTGACTCATCATCAGACTCTGATATTTATGACTACTTATGAATGGCCAAAGTACAGGCGATCACTATCTGAGATTTCCACAATGAAATCATTGAAAAAGTTATTAATGGCAAAGAAAGTCAGACTATATGAAAAAAAATTGGGGTGAATGATGGATAGAGAAGGCTTGATGGGGAAGCATCATATAGGGAATACAATCTAAGATGTTTCTGCCTGATGTTCAACTGATGACACACTGTTAGTCTGGAGATGGTATAATTTGTATACAATCAAAATGTTGATGAAGCTAACATGTAAGCTTATGGTCAGCCTCATCTACTGATAATTACTGGGTCTTTTCAGTGGGAGAGGGGATTGTGAACTTTAAAGATACTGTTTATTTTTAGGTAATGATTTGTTAAAATTTGTTAAAATTTGGTAGGAACAAAATTAAAAAACAGGCTACTCTGTATAGTTCTATGCTGTGCAGTAAAAGCCGGTGGCGGGGGGAGTAGACCTGAGCTCTTCCAGGTTCAATCTCCAGTTGAGTCAGGTATTTTCCTCCAAAAAGCTACAGAGTGTACAAAAATTTCTCTGTGCAATTGAAGAATATTTTGAATTGTTCACAGCATGAAGTTGAAAAGTGTCATTTTTTAATTATCATTGGTATGACCCAGCCAGCCAGAGATACCCGGTAGATACCATTTGAGGCCCAAACTATACTTTTAAGTACAGTCATTTATTCAGTGGATCAATCGGATTGTAAGTTTGAAGTTACAGATCTTAGGCTATCCTAGACCTATTTAGACCTAAAAATAACCTTTGGGGAAGGATATATTTGAATCCTAATGGTATTGATAGACTTTAAGCCAATTATTTCTGCTTTGAGGTACGTAAGTCTTTACACAACACTGATAGGTATGTTGAGAATACTGCTGTGACTACACAGATCAACTTTCATTAGAACTTCCATTAATTTCCATTATGTGTTAGTGAAAAATTATTTATAAGAAAAATGATAACCATCTTTATAATAATTACTATATAGTTAAGACCAACTTTTACCCTCCAAAACTAGAACCTTAAATATGACAGCCATTTCAGAAGAATGTTACAGAAACATTTCTCTGAAAAAGAAGTATTTGACTATGGATTTATGAGACAATACAATTCATTAAATGTCAGATTCTAATTTGATATCACACAACATTACAGTTATAAAACTTGGGTGTTGCATATATCCTAGTTACTCAATTTCTAATGCTGTGATGATGAATTCCGGCTGAATGATAAAAGCTTAACGGGGTTCAATACATATGAACTTTTTTTCCCTTATTCTCTGAGATAATGAGGAAATGAACATCGTCATGTTATGTGATAAGGTTGCAAATCAAAAATACATCAGTAGGAATTTGCTTTTTCAACTTGATGATGTACCGTACTGCAGCAACAATGTGTTTTGGGGGTAAAAACTATCATATCAATTTCAAACTGATCTGCAGCACGTTAAAACTTAAGAATATAAACAATAAAAAAAACAAATACTGAAAAATGACTCAGTCATATCCCTTGTTTCTTTAAGCAGTATAGTACATCTGCAGGGAGCCAAAATCCCATTAGACTGTACTAGACTGTACTTAAGTTCAGTACTTGAGTTTCAAAAATCCTGACTATTGAGAGACATGTTGATGTATTAATTCACTGACCGCATGTGAATCAGAAATAGAGGGTACATATATATTTTTAAAAGCTTAATGAAACAGAAAAGTGTGTTGTCTTTATTGTTTTCTGTTGTTAATTGGCAAGAATTAAGAAACCAGTGCAAACTTAAAAGAAAAAATCACAGCATTACCAAACTTAAATTGAATATTGAGATATAACTATATGTCAGTTTTCTGGTTACATCCCTATACGTCCCCACACCAATACTCCCCTGCACCCATACTCCTCCGCACCCTTACTCCCCCACAGTATCGATGCGGAGAAGTAATGATGTGGGGGAGTAACAGTGTGCCTACATCGGCAATTTTACTGAGGATGTATCGATGCAGAGATCTATCGTTCTGGGGTCGGATCGATGGGCATAATACACAAAAATTTACTAAGGGGGAGTATGGGGGAGTATGGGTGCAGGGGAGTAATAGTGAGGGTGGTATCGACATGACCCCAGTTTTCTATGATTTTTAGTTGTGTCAGCTAATGCTGAACAAACAGACTCAATTTGATGAAAAATTCATATATATATGTCATGATTGGCTGACTGTGACATGGTTGTGACAGTATTACGTGGGCCAGTGATGGTTTTATCCTGTCTTTGAATCAATACAAGTATATATAGGCAAGTTTCCATGTATTAGGCAAGCAAAAGGAGTGGCTAGAACAAAGATATATATCGGGAAAACTGTTTAGTTTTATACTGTTAGTTCCTTCTACATGTCATGGAAAGGAGTCAGGTCACAATTGAAATTTGAGAACCAATGACAGCTCCAGAGAGCAGAGCAGGCATGTCCCTCCCCCCCACCCCCCACCCACCACCAATGACTTTTTCTCCCTAACAAATTAACAGCTAGTAGCATACGTAACGTTTGAAATCAGACATAACATGTGTAAGATTTTTTGCAAATCTATTTTATACCTACATCAGCAAAATGAGGGGATTACTTTACACCCTTGCCTCTCCACCCCCTCCCCCACCCGAGCAAAATTCTGGATTAACTACTGATTGTAATAGGGAAACCATGATTGACATGTACAGTATAGTGCTGTGTTGACTGTATCACAGAAAAAGAGATCACCACTTTTTGATAATGTTTGCCAGAAATGTTAGGTACATAGGGAGCATTGCTGAAAAATATAAAGCCTTCTCTGTGCAAAAATACGCAGACGTACTAGTAGTTTGATTAGTGAAACTACTATAGTACAGCAATTTCTGCCAAGAATAACTGAAAAAAGAATTGCTGATAAATCTTTTTTTTTAGTGGCACAAACATGAACCAGTTGGTTTGAGCAAGGAAGTAAGTCTGAGTGGATCGCCATGAGACTTACAGGCAATGATTTAGTTTTACAGAACATTGCTGTCTATGGTCGTTGTTCTAAACCATTCATTTAAGACCCCATTTCCAGAGATTAGATCGATCTACTTTAGATCGACCTAACTCCCTGGGGGTTCACGCTAAATAGCTGTCAGCCGGGCAGACACGAAAGTTTATTACCCCCTTACAGCTTGTAGTAGGCGGGACGGACATTTAAGCCAGATTATCTGACTGTAATCTAGTGAGACTCCCGCGGGGATAGATTGATCTAAAAGCTCTGGGAATACAGCCTAAGAGACCACTCTGTTCCTCTGGCGTTATATACACTACCTGAAGAATTCCCTTCTGTGGTTCTTCTACTGTTTCTCATCTCTGAGTTATAGAAGATGATTCAAAAGACGGATTGCTTTGGCATTTGAATGAAAGATCTCTTATTGCCTCACACGATAATCACATTACAGTTATCTTTTTTTTACCAACTCTTTCAAAAAGTGTGATATTTGTTGGAGTGTTTGGATTGTGAGTCATGAAAATAGTGAGATGTGTTCCAGACAATATCAAGATGAAAACTGTACAGTTCAGTTCATTAGGTCAAAAGTAATTACAGGTTTATTTGAACATTATCTTTTTGACCAAAGATATTGAAAATCCTTTATGAATTCACCAAAGAAATACATGTATGTTTCAATCTCTGTGTGAAATTTGCTATAAATACACGCTATCTGTATTCAAAATCATTTAACCTAATTTGGGTAATTATCCACAGCATTGTTTAAATAAATTTCCCAAATGTTTTGTCAATTCCCAATTTTCTTTTTCAAAGTTAAGATAGAGTAGTTGGGTTGAGTGAAAAAAGAAAAAAAAATCTTTGAAATAGGAAGATATTGAAAAATGTGGTGTTTTAAAATGTGTGGATAATGACCATGTAAGTGTGATTTGAGTTGTGTCACTTCACTGTATCTGCTTTGATTTATTAAATGCTATCAAGCATAAAGGTTACGAAATTGAAAAGCTCATTAACTTTTTTTATAAGTTGTTGAGTTAGTTACATGTATGATAAAATACATCTGCATATTATCCTTGCTTAATACTAGTATGAGGAATTGTCCCATAGCTTGAAATATGATTAAATTGGAATTGCCTACCTTTATTGCTTTATCTTAATTTTCATCCAAGGACTCTTTGACATATACTGTATCACATTTAATCAAACATACTAAAATCTTATGATTTCATGTTTTCTTTGTGAGTATCTCAATCATGACCTAATGTCTTTTAAAAATGTATGTGGTTCAGTAGTATTTTTTTCAAGAATTTGCACGTTCATAGTTTATATTTTGTTGATGAAAATTTAATACCAATGAATAAGGTGCTAAAATTTGAAAAAGTTATTTTTTCTAAATTGGCTTGATATATATATATATAAATATATATATATCATTCAATATGTTTCAGAATGCTTATTGTGTACAATCTGAACTTCATTTCTAAGTAGCATAATTAGATGATCAATTTGAACATCTAATTGGTTTGTGCCATAGTAGAAAGTCAGGAAGCAAGTGCTCAAATGGCAGCTGTGACATTTTAGAGATAGAACCAGAACATAATAAGTTATCAGAGAAGCAGCTGAATAGAAACAGATCAATTTTGTTTGGCTTACAAAACACTGCAGCCGCCAAATATGATCATTTGGCCTTCAGATATTTGTAGTACAGTGCTGGTTTGAGCCCTGAGAAATGGATACCGCATTGACATACAGTTCTTACTTGCATGTTATTATTTATCCACCCATACTTCACTCCCAAGTTGTGTTCAAAATTGTCTAACCAACAAAATTGTTGCTGCAAGACTCATACAAGACTACAGGACTCATAATGCTCAGATCCAAAGAAGGTTTATGCATTTTATTTACTTATGTAACAGAGAGAGAAAGAGGATGTGTTGGTATGTGTATGTGTTTGCATGTACAGTTTCAGAGGATTCCTTATAATTATTAATTATCACAAGAAATTGGCAGAATGGCATATATACTGTTATAAGAGATGAAGATTCTAAATTGATATAATTCATTGTAACCAGCTGATGTACAGTTTGATATGTACTGACACAATGTAATAATTTACAAGATTTAGTGTTATTCACACTTTTTTTCATTATTGTTTTCCTTTTTAATTTAAAATTAAAAGTTGCCATTGAAGAAGTTTAACAATGCAGTAATATATATCTAATGTGTGGCATTCTTTTTTGTTTTTCAGTACAGCAACACAGAATCTCTCTGGGGGTATGGTCTAGTGCACATTACGCCAAATGAATAAAAAACAACAAGATAGTACTGTGATGTCACAATCCTAAATTTATCAGCCAGCCATGGAGAAGTACTCTGGAGCAAAGAATTACACTTTTCAACATTATTCTGGATAATGAGTCATAACAGCAAGAGAATAACTTGAAATAAGTGAACAAAAAGAAAAAAAATCTTGGATCAGATCTGGTGGATTTTCAGCAAATGACCAGCAGAGTATATCAGAATGAATGCAGAAAAATAGTGTAAGCTTTCAGACACCTGCTATTCAATGACTTTATGAACATTGCTACTGTAACATCCCAACCTTCGTGTTAATAACTACAGGAAACTCTGTTAATATTCAATCTGTCATCAACCAAGCATGAATAAAAACTGCAGTGACTTTTAGCTGACGTTGGCTAGGATTTTTCCTAAAAAGGCAGCAGGGATTCACAGTGTATGTGAGTATCCTTGATTGCCTTTTTGTTATATGGCAGTTCCACACAGCTGAAAAAAATTAATGTACTAAAGTGCTGTGTTAAAAGCAAGTGGCCTCGACTCATTAATGGACAAGGTTAATGTTTTGCCAATTCTTACACAACAAATTTTTTTAAAATTTGCTTCATTTTATGTAAGTGGGCTTACAGACAGCAGCCTGGTATTCAGAGATAAAAAATATAAAGCACAGATATTTTTTACATAACAGGAAATTGATTCAATACATGTTCTGGCTGTGGGTATGTGGTGAGCTTGTTCAGACTATATGTGTAAAGTCATGTAACATGGGACTTGAACTTTTTATTACATGTAGGATATTATATGTGGTATTTTTTTTCAGTAAGCTGCATGTTTGATACTGGATATGGCATTCACCTAAGAATCTTATTTTACTACAGAAAGTCACACTTCTTTTAGAATGGGCCAACTTTTTACTTGAGAAAGGCTGAACGTCATTTGCTGACTTGAGCTTTGACAAATTGAAGTCATTCGCAGAGGTATGACTTCATGAAGAGGCATCGATGTCTGTTACCAGGAATTCCACTGTGTTGATAAATGTTAAGTATTCACTTTGCTGACAAGTGGCAACAATTTCTGCTGCAATCTGAAAAACTAAGTGAAAAATTAATTCGGTGATCATTTAGCTTGTGAAGTTATTATTCAGTGGATATGCCTCAATGAATATGTACTGTGCTGTGCACATGGATTCAGCCCATTCACTCTATAACATATTGGAGTAGACTGCTTTACGGAACTTTTGGCAGATCTGCAAAGCCTGAAATTGCTCCATGCTGGACATTTGATTGAGATTATACACAACATTGAATTACATTATTAAGCAAACTCTATTACTGATTGCTTTTGAGGATTGCCAAGAATCTCAGACTGGACACAGAATCTTTTATTGACATCAGAGAGATAACCCCTTCGAGCATGGAGCTGACCACATTGGATCACTTTACCCTTCCCTTGACATCTCCTAATAGGACACTGAATGTGACGTTCCACAGTGATCTTGATGGTCCCCATGGTGACCATTGGGATTTACCCATTAAGGTCATCTTTGCAACATTTTTGTCAATATTTATGTTATGTGCCATTGTAGGTAATTTAATGGTTTTATCTGTGATAGGCCGCCATAAAGGTATGCGAACAAGGACTAACATGTTTCTGGGAAGTTTGGCCACAGCAGATTTGTGTGTTGCCATATTGGATATGCCATTCTCATTGGCCACTATAATACGTGGGACATGGATATTTGAGGATGAATTTTGTGTTTTTAATGGATTCACAATGGCTTTTTTCCTGGTGACTTCAATTCATAACCTAATGTATATCAGCGTCCACAAATATGTAACAATTACACGACCATTTAGTCGAGTGTTAACATACCGTAAAATCCTGCTCATGATTGGTGGCGCCTGGTTTTGGGGGTTCCTCACCGCCATGTTAACAGTAACAGGACTGAATCACGTGGTTTATAAAAATGCCACGACCCAATGTGGCCCAGATTTTCCACACACGACCCAACAGTATGCACACACAATATTCACGACAAGCACGTGCTGGCTCGTGCCGTTTGTCGTGATGATATTTTGCTACCGCAGGATGTTTGTGGAAATCAAAGGCTACACACTGCGACTTCAAGCACATACTAACCAAGAGAGAGATTCGGTTCTGGCTCAGCAGAAACGTATAACTGTGACACTGTTCATTGTCTTGGTGGTGTTCTTCATATGCTGGTTTCCTTACATCGTCTACTCCACGTATGCTTCCATTATTGAGGACAAGACCAGTCTCCCGCACTGGGCCAACCCTCTGGTAAGTAGACAACATGCAAAACCAAACTTTTTTACAACATGTTGCTAATACTTTCATAGTATATGTGGCCACAAAATAACCAAATCAAATATTTAAGGAGGGGAGGAGATTTTAAATATAAAGATTTTTTTGTTTTTTGGTCAAATTAAAGAAAATCCTTTATTGGGCATTAGATATATTCACATTAATAGGCTCTTTAAACTACTAGCTTTACAAGTAGTACATATGCTGTGGATTTACAAAAAAAAAAAGAAAAAATTTAATCTATTTTAGTCAAGAAAAAATATTTTTTGGAATTTTGTCAGTTAATGCTTTGTACAAGCAGAAAACCATGTCTATGAATAAAAAGAAATGTGCATGAAGTGCAATTTCTGGGACTCGAGTAAAATTTACACCACATATCACAAATTGGCAATGGAGCATGTTCAACTGATACCTGTACCCCCTTCCCACCAGAAAAAAAAAAATTAATTTTTTGCCCAAAATTGTCAAATAATTAATTACAACTGGCGCATTAATGGTGTTTTTTACATCCAAATGTAATTGCAGGTGTACTGGCTTGGGTACTTGCACAGTTGCTGTAACCCTATAATTTATGTCTGGCGAAACCCTCGGGCGGTAAAACATTTTCTTTATCATCACAAAGGTGAAAAATAAAATTATTAGGATATGATAAACTCAGTTATGCCAATACTGTTGTTTTCAAAATATGTGGAACTTTTGTCCATGTCTGTAGCCAGCAATTTGACAGGGAGGTTCTGGAAAAGTAGACCTTTGATTTTTCTCCCCTTATGTGATCCAGTTGAAAGAAATGATATATGATAATTGATCAAGTTTTGATTCAGAGCAGATATTTTCTGGCCAAAAGGGCAGTTCTTTAAATTTAATCCCCACCACACTCCCCCTCC